GCAAGATGTTGCTTGGAACTGCTTCTAACCAATTCACAAAATTATTTTTATAATAACTATCTTTTTCTATGACAGTTATTTTGTTAAAGAAGCATGACATACTGTAGGTAAATTCCTTGATGCTGATCAATGATGGTTATAATAAAGCTTGATTATTAGGGATCCACTATGAAAGTATTAAGCTAGTGCAGTGTTTGTGCCCATCAATTACAGCAATAAAAGCTGTGCATTTGATGCTTTGCTCACAGTTCCAGTGTCTCCTGGGATTCTGTTCCATTCCTGTAGTAGAGCCCAGAAAAGCATGTGCCAGTTCACTGGTCTCTGAGGCCTCGATGTCATATTTCATCCCATCTTATCCCACACATTCTCACTGGGGTTTGAGTCTGGCAAGTGGGGTAACCTGGTATAACTGCTTTCTCCAGCTGGGATTTCTTGGAAAATCACTCAAAAATTAGTCATAAATGACCAATCAATCGAAATGATGCCAGAAACATTCAATTAATATGCAATATCAGTGTATTATTTTAAGAACTTGCATTGGTGTACTGACACACTGAGCATCAAAAGAGAAATATAATTGTAGATGCTGAAGTATTAATAGGACTATAATGAGGAAGAGGGTGTATATATAGTAAAGAACTGAAAATGTTCATTGAATGAGAAGACTTATTAGCTATCTGTTTGGTCCGTCTCTTTAAAATCTGATATTTGAAGCTTTCTGTCTAGTCATGTTTTAGTTGCAGAAGAGAGGAGATCTACTAAAAATAGATTTCAGAGATCAGAAGTTAAGTAAAATGCATTAAGCAGTAGGAAAGAAAAAAAACTGAATTAAATAATGAAATTGCTTTGCTAGTTAGAAAAAATGTTAAGGAAAAGTTGTTGTTTTGAGCAGTATGGACTTAGGTTTTCTTATTTAAGATTTTAAGATATTGGAAGAATGTGTTCTTTTTCTTTGGTCTCTCAATAAAACAATAACTATATATCTAGTGAAAAGTCCACCTCAAATATTGTATATATTTTGCTGTACATTGCTCATCAGTTTTTTGTGTGCTGATTTTCCAGTTTCTGATTTGTTCTTTGTTCTATTTTAACCAATGTCAAAGTCAGCAATAACAAGCATATTTTTGTCTCATCCATGTAATTAATGATTGACATCTATTAAAGGAATCATAAGGTTTTATTTTAAGAACTCCTGTATCTCAAATTAGCTGGAACTAATTTTGCTGTGTGGAATTAATATACTGTATCTGATCTCTTCCAAAAATACGGTGATGTGGATGAGAGCTGATAATACAATGAACAAAATTAACTCAAGCATGCTATAGAGATACGGGAGTATAGAAAGAATTCCTGCTGATAAAGCCTAGAATGACTACAGTTTTAGCAAATGGCGAAAACATTTTTTCAGTTTAGCTTATAGCAATATGTAAAAGTTGTTTTTAAACACATTATATGTGCTGTTCATGATTTCTTCTTTAGGTTATATTTTATTGTTTTGAGAACATATTATAATTAAATATATAATTCCTTGAGGAGTCTTCTTGTAGGGAGGCTTAATGCAGTATGTTATGTTATGCTTTCGATAGATGTTGTTGTCTCATAAATGAACTATGCTTTGAATGCTAGTTTATAATAATAATAATTGCTTACACTTTTATAGCGCTTTTCTGGACACTCCACTCAAAGCACTTTACAGGTAATGGGGACTCCCCTCCACCACCACCACTGTGCAGCATCCACCTGGATGCTGTGACGGCAGCCATAGTGCGCCAGAACGCTCACCACACATCAGCTATCAGTGGGGAGGTACAAGATCCAGGTACTGACCAGGCTCATACCTGCTGAGCTTCAGTGGGTTGCCAGTTGTGAGTTGCAGGGTGATATGGCTGCTGGCATATAGTTTAAAACATAAACTCATTAATTTTATTTAAATTATTCAGTACTATAAAAGATTGTGTATGTCTCTTTTGTGCCATTTCATATCTCATTTTACCCTAACTGAATTGTATAAGCTCTTCACTACTGTATTAAAGCATATACAGTATGTTCGTAAAACTGCCTTCTTCTTGTTCACTCTTAAATTCAATTTGTTCATTGGATTTTCAGGGAAAACAAATATTACATAGTTCCACATACAGTAATGAACAAATGTGAAAAATCCTCATGGAATGACAGATGTTGTACCTAACCAAACTATGTAAATCCAACTACAGTATAATATAAAAACAGGAAGAAAGGAGTACTTACTTCTTGTTGACTTGAGCTACTTCATAATGGGCAGCTGAACTCAGGATGGCAGTGAATCACCTGTTATGTACCAACATAAGATTGATTTACCCTTCATTTTATTAGATCTGGGATCTAAAAAGCAGAACAGAATTTGATAGTGGTACTGTAAATCTAAATACAGTAGGCTGTGAAATGGGCCAAAGTAAAAATATATACCTGGAATTTCCATATGATTAATTTATTAAAAATTGATAGTTCCCATCAAGTTGTATCCTGTTTTAGTAGAGTGCTGTTCTAAAAGATCACTGCTGTTTGTTTTCACATAGCTCAGAAAGACTTGGGCACAACTGATGACCACATTGACTCATAAGAACAGATCCTCATTTCCGAAACTAAAGCCTGGCAAGTGTGTTTGTGTTTGCATGGTGCCAAGGAGCTAGGCCGTTTTGGTTAGCTAAGAGGAATTGACGTGAAACTGTTTAAATAATGTTTTTGTTTCCTTAAATTGTGTCCTGATGAACATAACTTATATAATTCCCATTATCATATATAGTGTGTGTACCTACTTATATATATATACCTACTTATCAGAATATCCTCTGGTTTTAATATCCTGTTTTTTTTAATGATAAAATTATTTTCTGTAGCTGAATTTTTTGTCATGCACTTCTCTGGATATGTTTCCCAGGGAGCATTTGAAATGTGGTTCTTCAGCGGACATGATAGATAATGGCCACATGCTGCATTTCGATTCAAGAAAGTTGCCAGAGCACATTTTGTACAGAATGTTTACAGAATTATTCATACAAAAATCGAACTTTCGAATGCAGTGTTATATTTAAAAATGATGAGGTGTAACTTTGTAACTGTTGGATCCAGGGATTGCATGTTTTCCCAGTGTCCACTGGGCCTCTCGGGTGTTTGGTTTTCCTCCCTGCTACTGTGATGGACTGACGTCACATCCATGGAGAACACAGCCATATGTTCTTTGTCTTGCCTTGTGCCCTGTTCTTCTGGGACAGGTTGCTATTGCCAAGACCCCTGCCAAGTCTTTTTTGTTTTTGAGAACAGAAAGAAATATTCTCTTTTTGCTAGTTTGATTTTGTGGAGAAATAATTGGCTTTCTGGTGATGGATGGAACAGTGGTATTGAAACAAACTGTAACAATTGGAAAGTTATAACCGTTTGTACGGTGCCCTTCCTATTCATACTCTTGTTCAATGATGCTGAAAAATGCATTTACGGAAAGAAAATATTTTTGTTCAGATGAAATAAAAAATTAGTTTTTTTTTTAATGCAAATGTCTCATTCTGTTTTCCTCAGAATGGTGTGTTATTTAAAAACCACAGAGATCAAAATTATGCACACCCCTGCAATCTGCAGTCTGTACTTTATACATACACCTGTCTCTTTGATCATACAGAGCAGATACTTCCTGTAGTGTTTTATAAGTTTCTGGCTTGTGAATATAAATAAATGCTGTTACTGTTTTCTTTTGAAGTTCTGAGCAATATTAACATCAATTAACTGCCTGAAAAAAAGTCACTCTGGGGCTATTCCATGGAAAAAGTAGGGTATTAAACATCTCAATGAAAATACATTTAACAATGTAATTGCTGCTTAGAGATTATGTGCTCTACTTCAGTTCATAACATTTAGAGAGGTCTTAGATTTTTGTAATATTGGATTTTTGATTGCAGGTTTCTGAATTCTTTGCATAACATACAGTATTAAAGGCAATATAGGTGTACAGAGAAGAGTTTACAGATTGCATATACTGCACTGATAAAGCTTTAACCTTGTGAAATTCAATTAGGTTAAGAAAAAATACAAAACATACTGTATATGGAGGATTGAAATGATACTTCATTCTACTATAATCATTTTCAAGTTATTTAGTGTATATTACAGTCACCTACTGTCCTTTCTAGATGCACATGTTGGTACTCTATGATGCAGTTGAATTAGTGAAACATTGTGGATAAGTTTCTATGCTGAAGGATGCAGCAGATTCTCACACATGAACCCCTTTAGTCAGGACTACGGAGTCCCAGGCCTGCCTCCACAGTTTCATCCCTAACACACTGAAAATCTTATACTACTGTTAACTTCACAGACCCCTTTCTGTGGAACTTTGTGTTTCGTTGACAGATATTTTGCGAAACACACTTTAGAATCATTTAGAATCATTTTACAGAGATTCTAAAGTCTCTACTTATTTGGCCATAAAAATGTCAGTACAAATTGAATGTATGTATAACCCGTCATCTTTTTAAAGTAGATGCAACACATCTTTGTTAGGAGTATAAATCAGATTTCATATCTACATATACTGTATAATGGGAATTGTATGCATAAATCTGCAATAAGATGAGTAAAGTCATTTCAAGATTACCTCTTTGTGCCTTTAGATATATTTTTTTTTAAAAGCAAGAAGGCCCAACAGTATGGACACATTTATTTCTATTACAATTGTATATTAAATGTATGAAATGCGATTAAACACCAGGTTTCAATTGCTGTACTGTTTTACAGAAGATACTTTATGACAAAGAGCAGGGTCTGATTGCCTGCTGCAGTGTTTTTTTATTGCCATTCATTTTGAAGGTTGAAGAATAACCTTTAGCTATTGGATGAAAATGCCATTGTTCATCACTAGTGTCTGGTCCTATTAAGACAGGTTCTCTGGAGGGTTTTCACTAAGCCCAGACAGCCACAACAAAATAACACATACAGTAGCTGTAACATGTCCTGATGTTCCACTTTTTTAGAATCTTCCTCCTGTACTACTTATTCATGAAGTGACAGAAAATGAAGGAGACTGGAGTATTCTGCCTTTGTTACCACAGTAAGTACATTACACCATGGCTGACAGATTAGAAAAAAAGTACTTTAAGACAGATAAAAGCCAAATTGTGCTTCATGATATCTCGAGAGTGTCTGCTTTTAAACAGTACTAGTTCCCAAGATATTTCAAGTGAATAATTAAATATGTAAGGTCTGTGTTTGTCCCCTTGCTGTAAGGTTCTTGTGAATGTAGTAAAACGTGGAAGATGTGGAAGGCAGAATCATTAAATTTGTTTCTGATGAGCTTTTATTAGTTTTACAATATCAGCTGAAGGACAGACATATGGAACCTAGTTGTTCACCAACAGTTATATTTTAAGCTTTTATCTCTAATTTGGTTTAAATCCTCTTGTTTTCCAGCTCTAAATCACTAGCCTATTTATAAGACATGAAATGTGACATATTCAATAACAGCTAAATCATGAGGATAAAATATTTAATTCATCTAATGAGTTTGTTTAATTAGTTTAAATGAATTTGTAATTAAGAAACATTCTTAACACATTCTGTATGGTTTCTGGGTTCACAAAGATCTTTGTTACATCACATTTTTAGAACTAACATTTATAAATTAACAATACACAGTTAAGTCGATGTAAATTTATCCTTTTATCTCTTAGTTTATCTGCTTCCTATGGAAGGAACTCATCTTGGATTTTCTTCTTTGAAGAAGAAACAAACTTGAACATCGGTAAACTTCTTCAGATTTTGAGGAGGTTTGACAAGGATAAGGTATGTTTGTTTTTCATCTTAAATTTGTTGACAAGTAATTGTTTTACACTTACTGTAGGAGGGAAAGGCTTCCTGAGTTACTTGTTTTGCTTTCCTACCAAAGTATCTTTTTAGTATCTTTTTCACTTTAGAGCATTATGATAAGGACTATCTCATGTTTGTGCACCTTCAAATAAGGTACAGTATGTATTTAAAAAGGAATGAGTTAAAAGATAGAAGCTGGACTCTGAAAGGATTATCTGTTCTAGTTACTGATGAAACCATCAGTTGCTTTGTTCAGGGTCACACTCTAGTGACCTTTTTTTTCCTAATTCCAGATTAAGTTCTAAATGTGATTAAGTTGGCTGGTCTGGCTAGCTCCGTGCACTTGTCTGGAGATATAATTGTCAAATAATTTGTCGATTATAATTTATCAGTAAGTAATGATACATTATACACTACACTAATCATACACTTATACACCAGCATTTTAAACTCATAATGAGAAGTAGTGAGACATAACCAACACTTCTACATATTTGTAAGATATTTTGTTGTACATACCAACAGTTACTTTTTAAAACAAGAATATGAGAAAAGAAAGAGAGAATGTAATTTCTTCAGCTGTGGTTTTCTGGTAGTTCTCAAGGGTTGAGGAAGCTCCATTAAGACCTCAGAAGTCACTGTTATTCTTACCAAGTCACTGATTATTCACCAGTGTAATGTGCTGAAGACCCTCAATACTCTTTAAAGAATTCTAAAATTTTAAGCATTCTAGAAAGTAAGCATTCTGCTAACTTCTGTACTGACCGTTTAGCTCTTATCTTCTACCAGGCTTCTTCCTCTATATTAATCAACAGAGAAGATGAGTGACTGTTCTTTGATACAAATTAGAACAGTGCCAGTTTAACTCCTGCTTAAATGAGTTTAAAAGAAAAGATCTCTCACTGAGAGCTCAGCTGTGTCGAGGCCTATTTTACTTCCTGTTGAATCCCATCAAGCTATATTGTCTGTGTGGTTTCTGGCTGCCAACTTCTCTATAGTAGTGTGATTTTTAATTCTAATCTTAGATCATTTCCAAACTTAATTGTTTTTTTTCTTATCAGAGATCTGTTGTAACTGAAAGGCATGTCATTACAAACCATTGTATGGTATGTAATGAAGTATACTGTAGATCTTAAATCTTGAATTAGATTAGTTCAGTCTGTCCATCCTATTAAAGCATATGCTGTGTCCGTTTATGCAACTTAGTTTCATAAACTAATTTGAAACTAATGGTCTTTTTTAATCATAGCTATGCACAGGTGTATAAGAACTTTTGAAGCCTGATACATTGGTGTTTACATTTGTGTTTCAGCAGAAACATTTTTTATTAACGGATTTGTATGGACCTAAAATGAGACTTTGCTCCATTTCCTTCTGTGTTGCAAAATGTGGCTGTGTAACTGTGAAACTCTCATCCTAGAACTGTCACGGGCTCTGAATCTGTTGATATTTTTAAATCACGTTTTGATTTTGCTTCTCGCAAAGTTTAACCATGTTGTTTTTTTACACATTCAAATATATTGCCTGGGATACATTCAACGTCTGTAAAATGGAACACACAAATGTTTAAATTTTCTTGTCTGTTTTGTGAAGTGCTTTGCAAAGCCATAATTTGAAAGGTACTACAAAAAGTACCTATTTATTTTTATGCGTGTTGGGAAAAAATATAATTCCTTTCTTGTCTCTTTACTCATGTACTTTGACAGCAGCAGAGGGTTGTTAGTTCTGCATTGAATGTTTGTCTCGGAGGTAAAAGTGACAGCTGAAACTGGCAATGTATTTCACTCACGTAAACAATATTCTGGAAAAAACTCATTGTGCTCAGAGTAGAGGCAAACCTTTTAAACAGAGTTTTTAGTTTAATAATAATAATCCTTACACTTATGTAATGCTTTTCTAGACACTCCACTCAAAGTGCTTTACGGTTAATGGGAACTTCACTCCACCACCACCAAAGTGTAGCACCCACCTGGATGATGTCACAGCAACCAAAGTGCACCAGTACATCCACCACACATCAGCTCTCAGTGGGGAGGAAAACAGAGTGATGAAGCCAGTTCATTGATGGGGATTATAAAGAGGCCATGATAGGTAAAGGCCAATGGGTAATTTGGCCAGGAAACCGAGGGTAACACCCCTACTGTTTTTGAGAAATACACTGGGATTTTTAATGACAGCGTACCTCGGTTTTACATCTCATCTGAAGGATGGTGCCTTTTTAAAGTATAGTGTCCCCGTCACTATACTGGGGCATTAGGACCCACACAGACCTCAGGGTGAGCGCCCCCTACTGCCCCCACTAAAACCTCTTCCAGCAGCAGGGCTTAGCTTCAGAGGGTTACCAGTTGTGAGTTGCGGGGTGATTGATGAAATGATAATTAAAAAGAATGATTAACTACAGTACTTGTCATGTAATCTATGGTTTCCTTTAATTGAAAATACACAGACATAAGAAATAATATTAGTTGTTGAATATCAGTTGATACGATAAGATTTCCAAAACTCCTGTACAATTATCAAAAAAATTCAATTGGAAATGGTCTTTTTTTAGAAACAGTCCCTGCATATTTTTTTAATTATTATATTCTGGATTATCCCAACTCATAGTTTATTTTTCAACATTTCACATTTTTCTCACTGTAAAGCTTTAGTTATGATACTGTTGCCAAGAAAAATAAGCAAAAATGAACAGCTTTTCTAAAATAATAAAAGCATGATGGTGAAATGGAACATCTCTATGTCAGTTTTATGTTACCTTTTTTCAGAATTTGTTTTTTTTTTTGGGGGGGGAGTGGGAGGGAATGAGGGATACAGACTCTTTTTCCACAATTTCTCTTTGGTTCTGTTATTTTTTAAAAGTCACTTTCCTGCATGAACTGAGAGAGTGCTACTGCAGAAAAAAAACTTTTCTCAAAGCGACTCACTGTAAGTGGAAATGATCTTTTTTGAAATAGAAATACCTGCCTGCAGGTCAGGCTTTAAATAAAAGGCTTGGGGATTTCAGAAGCTGTTGCTTTCATGCTTTCAGGGTTTAAGTCTTTGCTCCAATCCTGATGGAAAGTTTGGGAGCAAAGAGGGGTTTTCTTTCTTATCTGCAAATCATTAATGTGGCAGCTGTGAGCCGAGAGGACATTCCTAACACATTTCTATTTTTCTATATAATTAATTCCATGTGAATTTCAAAGAACAACATCTGAGCTAATGTAGTTTAAATAATACCTTCTAGTTCTCTTAGTCTGGCAATCATTGCCAAAACCAGGGAGTATTCACATTTGATCATAATGGTATCGCAAGGTAGGCAGGTGTGCTGTTAAAAAGCACAAGCTGTACTTTTAGGGAAAAAAAAAACTTCTGGGACAGTTAGGGTTTAGAATTGAAACATTGGTGAAAATATCATTAACTGTTGCATGTTGAATTATTTAGTTTAAATTAGCATTCTGAATTAATCCAGAACGTTACTTCCTCTGTTAACATTTATTATGAAGCAGATAGCTTACATCTAAAAAATATGAATGATGGAAACAAGGTTTGGTCTTATTCCAAAAAGATTAATCCACGTTAACATTTTCTCTGCATTTGTTAGAGGCATTTTTTTAAAGAATATACAGTATGATGGGTCTGTAGAGAGGATGGTGGACTTTAATTCTGAAAGTGAAGTGATGGGCATTGCTTGTTTTTAGATTGTTTCCAAGCACAATCCAATAAAATCAACTTTAAGCCACTAAAGGTTGAATTATTGTCAGCAAGAATCTTATCTTAATGATGTGTCTAGGGAAAAAAATAATGAAGCCTTTCTTTTCATTACTTGTTTGGTTTTCACTGTTCCTTACATTAATTACTTTAATCCCAATTTAGACATAGCTTCGTATTCACATTTTGTTAATTTATAAATGAAAAATAAGAACATTCTACATTCAGAAGAATTCATTTTCAGTGCTTTATGCATGCATGGAATTCTGTAGATGCATCAGGAGAAACCTGAGACCAGCAACAGATTTTGTTTTTCATGTTAACCTATTTATTGATACTGGAAGTAATTACCAAAATTTGATATTTTTCTTGAATACCTATAGTCTATGGGGTCAAAATATTTAACACTGTCCTCTAATTACATAAACCTTTGTTTATTGGTGAATTCTTCTTCTTCTTCTT